TTCAGATTTGATTTGGTTTGGAGGCTTTTTTATTATGGTGCATCAGGATTTTAGAAAATGAGCATCTGTGCGCGTATCTTCCTTTTTTATAATTTGCTTTTGTGCAGAGTTTAAGATAGTGGAATATAAACTATTTGTTTTAGCTTGGCAACGCGTTTTCCTGTTGCATATTATCTTGGTTAATAATAGTATAGGATGAATTAGGTATGAAATTTTCGAAGATTTTCCTGAGACGCAGAATCAATATTCAACATTGTGATTATTTTCCTCACAATTTGTTTTTAGAAGTTCGTTTATGCTTTTTCATGAGCATGCAAGGATTAGAGTTGAGGGTATCCAATGATAAAGTACTGGAATAAGTTGATCCCAGCTACAATCATTTATTCCCAAGTACGTCAGAAGACTTTTTTGGGGAACATTTTTCAAAAAGTTTTTACATTTTGGCGTTATTTTTCATTAAAACAGAGTACTGTATCAGCATATTATTGTTTTCTTTTTTTACAACCAGCTGATTCACATGACAGCTAGTCGATCAAAACCCGAACTTAGTTTTCTGTGATTATCGTCAAAATGTATCTTGTGGCGGTTGGTGTCTTTTCGCAAATTAGGAACTCCAAAACGCCTGAAATTTGCGAACCGTTTCACTAAAATTATTTTCGCTTTTTATTAGTTGTTATCCAATATTTTGGAACTTTTGTGTTACAGTATGCCGCAGAAGTTAATTTAGTGATCATGGACAAACGCCAGCATTTGTCTGAATAGCAATAAGGGAACGTCGCAATAATAAAATGTTTAAAATATATTCAAGACATTTTGCGATAACCTGGATTGGCAGTTGGCTGATGCATTCGGAAACGGACCGATTCCATGTTCTTTAAGCAACTTATGCAGTTATTCACAACCCTGTCCACCAGATAGGGGACCCTCTTTTTCAATTGAGCTGGAAAGAGCAGGACATGTTGTGAAACGCGGATATGTAGAACGCTATAAGTCCTTGATCCCCAAATTTAAAATCCAATGGATTTATGTTTCACCTGAATTATGAACTATACAATATGAAGATTGCCCTGCAGCATTTACCCTGGTCTTTATAGTGCAGCAGTCTGTCTTCACTTCGACGACGAAGTCTGGCTATTTTTAATCATGTTACACAAGAATTGAGGAGCTGAAATGATTCCAGAATGTACCAATGTGCGTGAATCTCGTTACAATGGATATCGTTCTATGATGAAATCGTTTTTTGGTCTGTGCTTGGGGGCCCATATATAGCCACAATATTATTTTAAATCTGATTTCACAGATGTTGGTTTATGGCCAAGCTTTTTAAAAGTCCCACGCATGCAGCCATCCTGCATCATCGTAACAAGATTATACTTTGGATTCAAGTTGAGTGTCAAAGTTTAATAAAGACGTTTTGAATTTGTTCCTGCTTCAAATTCGATTAAAAAAGTATTCTTCTCAATTTTTAAGAATACCAGGTTAGGATCTTGGTATTCTTGGCGGTTTTGATGCACTGAGGAAACAAATATGGTCCACAATATTGCAAATGTTCATAAATCTGCTAACCTTGTGCAGATGCCGTTGGCACTTCACAGATGTTAGGAGTAGTCAGGCCCTACATTTTTAGCCTTACATTCTCCTTCAAATTGATTATATAAGTCATATTGTACAGGCAAATACTGCATAATTGCTATGTGTGCTGCTATTATAATAAGTAATCAAAATGAATGGGCGAACATTTTCCTGATTGGCACATTCGAACAAGCTGGTCTGAACAACAATATGGTTTTCAACATTGCAATATGTGCCTGTATGGCATTGTACAATATTGAGCATGCAGTAGGAAAGTATGATAGCATGGTGCCACTTGTTTGGATTCCTCACCAAGTTACTATGTAGATGTCACTCCACAAACTTCTTGAGTTGGTATTGGTCAGACTAGCGGGTAACATTAATCCCCGTCTGAAGCCAACCACCGCATATCAGTTCAAGTCGCCCAAGTCAATATACGTTCGCAGTTCTAGATCTTTCCGTTCAGCGTCAGCGTCATCACCTAGTACGTGGCAACTGTTCACGAGATGGTGTCGTTCAGCAAATCTTATACAGTGCTTGCATTTTCGTTGTGACTTGACGGATATATTGATATGTGCCTAAGAACTTATGATGTGAGACTGTCAAAGTGAAGTACATGAGTTCAGTAATTACCTGGCTTCCAATCTTAGTCCATCTAGATTATGAGGTTTCAATTTTGTTGCGGTGGTAGTGAATTTAATTTATATACGGAATGTCAGTCTTGCATTGATGAGTGATTGGTCTGCAAGCAGCTTGGGAGCTATCCTAGTTGGGGGGATCCACATCCAAGTTAGAAGAATTGTTGGATTAACTTCAGCATGCATGCCGTAATCCTATCCGTTGAGCATGAAGTCAATTAAGTAAATATTGCTCCTGACCAGTCCGCTCAAGTATCAGAAGAGAAAGTGAAGTGGCTTCCTGTCCCGGACGATTCTGTTAATCAGTTTGAATGCTTTTCTGCATTTATTTCGTTGTTATGTCCAGGCTGGACTATCAACTCGTCGTGAATGCCATCAAATTCTGAATATTTTGCGGAGTACACTTCGTCTGTTCGGATACCTTCAATTCATCGGGGAGAGTGGTTCAAGTCGGTATGTACTTCCGCCGCGTACAAACTCGCTGTATAGCTTTTTCTCTTTGTGTAAAATGCCTTTGAGCGAAGTAAAGTTAACTGAAATTAAGTTCTTTTTCCTATACGTCCACTTGTTCCAATTGATACATGAGCTGTCAAATCACAGATGCGATTGACGAAAAACTTCCCACGATGAGAAGTCTACGATTTACATAACTTTGTTTTGAATTCAACCCTTGTAAAACTGCCTGAAATACCTACATAAATTTCGAAATTAACGTGACGATAATGTGCGGTGCAAGTTACTCAACTTTGTACTGTATATATGACGGTTTGTTCGTGAAGGTTTGTTGGGATTTTTGGTTCAGCGCAGCATTCCTAATTTAATTTGTGTTGAGCTGGGTTGCGTGAGCTTTTAAGTAAATCTCCATCCGCGAATGTATCAATAACTCGAACAAGTGGAACTTCTGCATGATGAGATTTGGAGACACACACAAAAAATACAATTGTAATCTAGAACAGGAGCATATGTGTAATGATTGCATGTTCATTTGGCTAAATGTCTGTTTTCTGTAAGGGAAGTAGTTCCAAACATATATAGCATGGACGAAATGCATTGCGTCAATAAGTTCAAGAACAACATACTTCCATCTGAAGTCGATATACAATTGTGAAGCAAAGTAAGTCTTACAGTTTTGAAAGACGACAGTAGTTATCCTGCATATTCTATGAAAGACACACTGCTTGAAAAGAAGGAAATTCTTCGATTGACTCAAAGTTCATCTTTCGTGAGAACGGAGTACCGTCTGCTAGATGGTACTAATCTCTGAAAAACGGACTCACGTATGTGTGAAATCTTGAGCACTTGAATCTGGGCGCCTGGTCGGGCCCGGGAAGTTGTTGACGAGAAAGCCCGGAATCAAAGGATCCACAGACTATTTATTTTTGGATGTTGAGTTTCACTGATTTAAATTTTTACCCGAAGTGCTTCTAACGCCAAGAACCGTACGCAGGTGTAAATCCGCTGGTTAAGCCTTATTCTTTGAAGCCGGATGGTCACTATGAGTGCTACTTGCTTATTTGAGTTAGGAACTTTGCAAATAACTGAAAAGCCTTTTAAGACTTATAAACAGTTTATTTAAATTCCGATCAACTTCACAAATGTAGCAACAACACAAAGTACTCATCTCTGTCTAGAAAACGAGAAATCACATCTTTCATCAATAAAAATCATAATACACATCACACAGAAGAACAACCCAATTTTGAATCAATGCAATTCAAATTCAATACACTTTGTCAAATCCTTCTGGCGTGGGTCTTATTTATTTTTACTATTAATTTAACCCTCTTTCTGACTATAGTACAAGCAAGCATCCGATGCTCACACTTTGAGCGTTCAAACAGAAATGAGCAGAGCGCTGTCTGCTAAGAGATTAGTGCACCAACCTTGGGTGGCCTGTTCCCGCATTCCAATCTAAATCCTCCTGCAAGGATGGTTCGCGCGGTTTTCCCAGGCGGCCTAAAGCAAGGATACATCTTTCCAAAGAAAACGCAATGGAAAAAGCGCAACAAATCATGCACATCAAATTTTGCACTCTCTTCCAAGAAAACATAAATATTGTCAAATTTCCGCGCAGTGCAAATTTCCGCAAGGCGCGCGCCAATACATGTCTATACACTCTCTGAACAATTCAAATGAACATACAAATCATGATCATTCAATACAAAATTCGCGCATCAAATAAATTGCAAAATAAAGAAGTTAGTGTCTGCGACTAACCTTTGTAAATACAACAAATAACTGATGTACAAAACGTTCAATTCTTTCAATATTTCTCTGCTGTTTATACAAATAAAATCAAACATAAACCAGCATCTTCCCTTCTCATAAATACATACAGAACCCTTCTTAAAAGATTCTTTTCAGTACAAACCATGGAATAAACCAAATTTGACTGATACATTGCCAATGGATTTACATACATCGCCAATGGCATTATACATTGTCAATGGCATTATACATCGCTAATGACTTTTCAATTCATATTTAAAGCACATTTAAATTGTACATTAACTAGGTACAAGTATCAATGGTAATTCTTAGTGTTTATTGTTCTGGGGTTGCCTCTAGCAACGATTGCTGAGTCCCTTCCATTCAGAGCACTCTACCTTACACTTTTGAAAGTGTAAGCCTCTTTTCAGAGGAGTCTGACCTATTGGACAACCACTCCAGAACAGGTTAGAGCAGGGGCTGCACTATTAAATAGCTCAGGACTTACTCCTTCCTTTTTACGCCAGAACACAAAAAGAGGGACTTGTCCTAATTTAATGTCTCATTTCTTAATTCATATTTTCAGGATAGAGAGGAGGATCCAATCTGGGGATCCCCATCTCCGGAATCTCCCACACGTATGGCTAGGGGTTCCCCGCTATGGAAATCTTCGTGCAATTTCCCAGAATGAAGATCTTGAATAAATGCTTTTAGTACTCCTGGGTCTTCAAAGTTTGCATCAGTTGGAAGGCCAAATATGTAGTTGAAATCATCCAATGCAATCACTGGAAAGTCCTGCGGAGTTTTTCCCAAGTACTCCAAAGGGTGTTTGAAAACGAATCTGAAAAATATAATTATATTAAGACATGAGATGCTAGTTTATCGCCAAAATCATTGCATTTATTATGTACAACATTCAGAGCTAATTGTGTAGCGTAACAGCTGGGGAGATTTTGTAAGGTTGCTGGGCTTCATTTTATGATAACGAACGTCACTTGTACGAGACGTGACCACGAAAGCTTTATACAGAGGAGCCAAGCAAGATTCATGCATCTGGCATTCATTTGAGGAACGTCGGAAATTTCACTTGTTAAATTTTTTGCGTTTCTTGACCGACACAAATAGAACTGAAACCTACCTGACCTAAAATCTGATGTCGAACCAAATTAATTTCCTGACCATATCCAATACTATTGTACCTGATGACTCAACCTCTTTGTGATGGACTGAAAGGATGCAAAATGTAATTCTAATCATCCTTTGAAAATGGTCAAAGAAGAATGTGTCTCTCGCAGTTCAGTGAATTAAATTTCAGATGACCCTTGAAGGATCTCATTACCAAAATTTGTTTTCTACATATTCCCCGCAGGACTCTTTCAACGAGCAGAAGAGGGATCCGAGGCGAAGAGAGGAAAGAAGTTTCATACCCGTCAGCATATAGGAAGTTCACTTTGTCCTGCTCTCCCGGAAGTTCGTCATTGATGATGTCGCGAAAAATTTGCAAGCTTGCTTCATCGTCAGGGTCCCGGAACAAAACCAGAAAAGGTAAACCTTCTTCTGTCAGTGCTTCAGCATTTTCAAACTTGAGTTCTCTGACCAATGGGACGCATTGGGACCTGGCCCATTGTAAAAGCTCCAGGAAGTTTTGCATTTGGCCTGGAAAAGATTTTTCATTCCCAGGCACTGCATCAAAGCTGGTTACACTGGTTTCTAATTCTCCTGGGACGACGTTGACGTGAAAATTGCACTCGGTGTCCAAAAAGTGCGTGCTGACTTTCCTTAGAAGATCCAAATTTTCTTCTTGGCCTTCTCGGACTTTAGCAAGAATGATGACTGGTTTTTCGGACCTTCAAAAATTAAACTGGGATCCAACTGGGGTAGTACGAAGATCGGTCCCTAGTTTTTTTGGGCCCGATCGGACACTTGGTAGAATTGCGTTTTTTTAAATGGAAAACAAAAGCGTAGTAACGTGGTAAGATGCCCTTGTAATACTTAATCTCACAATCCCTCAACGAAATTACTCCGACCCTGTTTCTACAAATGTGTGAGTGTGTGTTTGTTTTTTTCTTAGCTGTGTTGCTGTTGCATGAATGATGACTTACGATTCACCACCAACTTTGCTCCATGTAAAATTTGCCAAACTAATTTTTCACGGAGCAAAACTGAGTCCAACACCTCACTCCTATCCGAGAACCAACCTTGAATAGAACAAACCTAACTTAAGTCAACCAACTTGCCCTGCACGAGTATAATTCTTCAGTGACGACCTAATGAAACGGCGTCACTCTTTTCAGAGGGATTAAAATACCGTAAAAACATGAAATATTCTGGTGGAGCATAAAATTGAAATATATTTTACCATAAGAAATATGTGCAGTATTTTGTTGATACATTTTACGAAACTAGTTTAGGCTGAGAGTATCCGAAGATTTAAGGAAATGATTGTTTCCATGTTACTAAGGAATGATCCATTACCATGGAATAAACTTGAATTAAAATTAAGGGGAAACCTTTTAAATGCCAAGCTTTCGATAGTTATTTCGAAGCGATTCCTTCCTATTCAATTATATTTTTGGATGTACTGTATGATATTTTCTATAAACATGATTTCCCAAACCGTGTGATACATTACCTTTAACTCCGGCATTTATGTTATTGAAGACTTGATTTCTTAGCTTACACAACTGATTTTTTCTTATGAATTACTTGGGGAAAAATATGTGAGCCGCTAGCGCAATTTCGTCCCTTGCGCTGTTTTCTGGGTACCTTGGCAATGAAGGACGTTTTTTGTTATCAAGCAGGATTAACTGAAGCGAAATTCGCGGAATTTTCTTAGTTCATCTGCAGAAGTCTAGTCACAGAAATATGACTCATTTGAACACGTGCCCTTACTTTTCTCCAGTTCCAGGGACGACATCTCGTGGCTGTAAGCTGTGCGACAAATCAGACGATGTCGCAACTGAAACTGCATCCCTTGCTTGTGCCTTGAGAAAATCCATGAGTCCCTCAGCACTTACCTCGGTATTCCGAACCTCTTCCCCGTTTACCATGTTTTATTAAGGTCACCGTGGGATAATTGTGCACGTTGTAGTAATCGCACAATTCGTCCATTGGACTCAAATCGCAGTCTACTCGAGCGAAATGTACTATTGGCGACAGAGCTGAGTCATCGGCTATTATACTTGCTGCCATTGAGGAGCCAGCAACTTGCTGAAGCTGCACCAATCGGCATAAAAATTGACGAAGACAAAATCTTTGTTCAGAAGGGGATTGTTCCAATCGTCCAGCGTTCTTTCAGCATTGAAAACGTCAACGGTGTCTTCTGCATAGACTCCAAGACTAAAGAACAGTGGCAACGACTATGAGAACATTCTGAATAAGGTGCGTAGGCTGTGCATGGTTTTTGGATCCTCTTATCTAAATCACCGTACATTTTGCGGATTAAATGTCAGCCAATAGCTAGGCGGCATTTTCATCTGCTCAGGACTCATGGCGGCTTTGTGAATTTCATTATCATTGATGTCACTTGAATTATCATATTCGTCATGAGCATTGTTGATGTCGACATCTTCTCTGGGTTCCGAGTTCCGTGAAAGGGTAATGCTGCTTAAAGTTGTAAATAGTGTCGAGCTTCTCCAAGTTCATCTTACTGAGCTGACCAACCATGCTTTTGTCCACTTCTTGCGTGGCAATCAGGAATCTCACCAGACGGTTTCCAGCGCTTGAATGGAGGATATATTAAAGATTGCTGCAGTAATGATATACCTGTCACGATCTCCTTGATTTTGCTCATGGGGGAAACCCAAGACATCCATGAACTCTTGCAAAAGTCTTGGGCAAAGATGCGAAGACTAATACAGGGTGTTCACATTTTTTTGGGCGTAACCGAGATCAGAGCCGAAAATAGATCATCAATCCGTCAAGGGTTCATAAGCTCCTCTCATTCACATTGTTATTTAATCCATGATTTTTTCGTTGATTGATGACGTTTTGGAGGACTGTTTTTTGCTCCTTTGATGAGAATGCTTTCATGCGTGCAGGTATTATTTGTGACCATTTTTCCATCGTTCTTTTTGCCGTGCCGTTTCCCCCGAATAGAGAATTTTTTTTTTCAATTTTACCCAGATAAAGTAGTTGGAATAGTGAATATGACGTCCGCGAGGGAGAATATTTCATTGTGCTGAAAGATCTACATCAAAATAGTCCAGTCTCCTTCATATTAGGTAAAGAATGTTGACGAACACGATGTGTAATGAGGAACTTTTATAACCTGTACTTCGCTGTATTTCTTCCAAGTGCGAGGAAAATCGGGGGAAAAGGCTATTGGTAATTGAGCTGACGTGTTGCTGTGACAAGTAAGTGTACTGTATTTAGAAATCGGTTGAGGATCATTTTTCCAAGTCTCGGCCGTCCTTCGGCGTTTATATTCAGTACGCAGTCATTCCGCTATAGTTGGGTGTTATGGTGTTGTTGTCGCATTTTCCCCCTCAAATCCAACATGTGTTCTCCAGATGTTCTAGTTTTTGTCGGTAGGTGTTCGCAGGGGATTTTTTTTTTCGTGCAATTTCTCTCTGTCGCGGAATTGCTTCGGAGAAAAACAGGCAACTCACAAAAATGGGCATGTGGGAGCATGCCTTTTCCGACAAAAATAAATTGGAAATTAGCCTAATATACACTTCAGTTCCATTTGTAAACGAGGCTATAAAAACGGGGAGTGCAGGTTTATGAGGCAATTGGTCCAGAAGGACACGAAGTGGGGAAACCGTCACTATCTTGCGCGACAAAAGCCCTGACACGAAATCCCCGCCATACCCGCGCACAGCTGTAACGAAAGCCCCGAACTTTTTCGAGCAGCAAGCTTTAGTGTCACCCTCGCCGCTGGTTTATCATGCTGCCGCTTTGTGAGCTTGGAGACCAGTGAGCATTTAGAAGGAAATGTTCTCTGCGCCCTTCAGTATATAGGCTTTTTCATGCTGGCAGAATTTTGAAAAAATACACAAGGTGTGGTTCTTTTGGAGGAAAAGAGCACTGAAGGACCATCATCGGTCAACAGTTGGTCTTGAGTCTTGACAAAGATTTTAAAGAGGATGAAAGAACAAAAAATTACACAGAATTTGTCCGTGAGACGGCGAGGAGACTGAGAAGGTTTTTCTCACAAGAAGGGGAGATTAGTTTTTTTTGCCGAAAAAAGACTCAAGTTTGCACACAAGACAAAACGACGATGTTTTGTGTGCCTAAAGAAATTTTTTCAAACAATAGACTTTTTTTGCCGACAATTAATGTTTCTTGAGTAAGTTTATAACCGACGTATTTCATCTGATATAGATTGAAGTTTGCAGTTGAAGGAGGAATTTTATTTTATTGATACACACCATGGGTACAGAGGGATTCCACTTCATTCCTCGTACAGTACATATTATCCTTCGACACAGGACTGAGTTTCCTCTAGAATGGAAAAATCCATGTCTTAAATGATTGATGACACTGCAGCTTTCATGACCACTAAAGGGCAAAAGAATGTATTTCATGAGCAGTGATTTTGAAGCGGGAAATGTCAACAAAGGGCAATTACTAATTTACTCCTTCAAATGCTGCAAAACAGATCGCATAAAAACAAACAGGGATTTATCATAATTTTGTGATTCTGCCAAATGAATGCATTGTGTTCTGGATAAGGATCTCTTTGATTTTTAGAGATGAGAGGAACAGAGAAAAACTACCAAAGGCTATTTCAAATATAGTATTCGTTATAGTGACAATTTAATGTTCTTCAAACATCCTAAAAATGCATTCCCAGATGTGGAATGTACTGAAGGTACCTGTATGATCTCAACCAGCAGCCCTCAATAAAATATTTCAAATATAAATCATCACCACCCATCCTTTTGCAACAAAACCAACAACTGAAGCTCTCGGGATGCGTCTATGACAATTTTACACCCATCAAACCCAAAAACCATGACCCCTTCCCCCATGTTCAACAAAACGCCCTCCAGAGCAATGAGTGAAATAAATAGGCGGAATAAACTGCAAGTAGCATTCGGTCTGCTTCGCAATGTTTGGGATCCCCTTGATTCAAGTTTATACCTTCATTCAAAGTTTATAACTGATGTTCTTCCTTTGAAGTGAACTATGGCTCAATTTTCATGGAAGAATAAAGCTGGGAAAACGTGTACTGCACTGTTCAACATCATGCGCTTCTAATTCAAAGAATTTTGAATCTCTAAATTTGAACGCTTGTCACTCTTCTTGGGATTCTCCTGCTCTTCATATCTCTTCATTTTTACTTCCTGAATAACTTCAAATTTTCAAATTTTTTATTGTATTTAAAATTATGTAATTAAAATTTCGAAAACAACAATCTATTGATGGTAGTGCTCAAGTAAAGCACCCTGGAAAAGAGAGAGAAAAAATGCCCTTCTTACGGGGGGGGGGGGGGGGGAAAGTTCCGGGCTTTCGTTACAGCTGTNGTGGGGGGGGGGGGGGGGGGGGGGGGGGGGGGGAAAGTTCCGGGCTTTCGTTACAGCTGTGCGCGGGTATGGCGGGGATTTCGTGTCAGGACTGTCAGGGCTTTTGTGTCCCGGGGACCCCGTTACAAACCCCACGAAGTGTTGGGCATTACTTGTTTGGAGACGAGATTGCTTGTTCTGCAGTCGATCACCCTGAAAATTGCCCCCTTTCCGTTCACATCTACAGACGAGATTACTTGTTTTGCAGGGAATTGCCCTGAGAATTGCTCTCCGTCCGTTTAGGGTTTACCCCTCATATTTTTGCTGGCAATTGCCAACAGTTGTTTTCTTCGGGTTTTTATGGGGAGTTGAGCAAGAATTTACTGTATTCCAATTCTGTCTAACGTACTTCGTCTGATATTGAAGGGAAACCATGTCAATGTTTTTCCCCTGCTTCAATATTCTTTTTCCTTGTTTTAAAAATTTCTCTTGATTTATTTCGTAATGCATGGTTTCCCGTTCATGCTAGTATTTTTCAGTTATGTCAACTGAAAAAAAATTACTCCCGAAATCGTTAATTGCGTGATATGGGGAAAACGTTAGCACGAAAGGATCAGTCGAATTAAGATTTTCTGGTGCTTCTTCAATGAACTTTCGGTGTTGAAGCGTTTTTTATTATTTTTTCTTGAGAATGTGAGCTGAATCTTGCAGTATCATCACTTCTGAGTTCAACGAATCTCCTTAACCCGGAAGTTTTTGCCCGTTTTACGATACTGGACGAGACTAAAACAGCTAAATGGATTCCGTCTGAGAAGAAAATGTTGAAAGGGGAAACAGATAAAGAACGAAGAGATTTCTATCCACGGAGATTTCTCCGAAATTTTCACCGCGAATACTGTATTTCGGGAAGGAATCAATCGTACTGTGACATGATCCCTCGAGTGCAATGCTTTTCTCGATCAATTTTCTTGTACGGTAAATAGAATACGCGGATTAATATTGTTCAGCCATTTCAAAGAATCACTAGGAGACATTCATCGATCTACAGTCGATGCAGCTACCCGCTGTGTCCGTCAGAAACAACAAGAAGAATCGCGGTGTTCTGCATACGTGAATTATCACTCGGTAGCGCGAATAAGTCCTTCAATTTATACTGTATACAGTATGAGAATTCGTTTTTATTTTTTAGTCACAAACGAGTTCTTTTAAAATTCTCTTCGACGTTCAAAAATTTGAAAAAGATCTTCCTTCCTGGTTTTTTGCTTGGACATAATCTAATCTCCGATTTTATTTTAGGTCCCGAACGAATAATGGAAAAAGTTGAGTTCCTGAGGAAGGAACGTATTCAAATCGGGGCGTGCAAGCAGTTGACGTTAGATGTCAGTCTCGGAACAACTACAGTTCAGTGCACAGTACTGACCTCGGGGTTCGCTCTATATAGTGTCTCGCTAAGCTTCGCCTCGGATGGCGGTCAATATATACCTGGAGGTGAAGTTGAATCTTCGCCGCCGAGGGCACGGCATAGTGGTCACGGTTGTTGTTCTGGACGCCGGTGAACCCTGGTTCGAATCCTGGTCCGTATCTCGATTTCGGCTGGAGAACCTGCCTCGGTTTGGCATTTGGTGGAGAATCTGCGTCCGTCATGGACGAAAGACGTATGCTGATGAGGCGATTGCGCCGATGATATCCAGTTGGACAAGCTGAAAATGGTCTGGTTCGGAGGACCGACTTTTTTGAATACTGTACCTTTTTGAATACTGTACTATTTCACGTGAAAGCCTCAGATTTGTGCATTCTTTAGAATTACTGAGATTTATAATTTACAAGTACACGGTAATGGTTTTTCTTATTTATTTGGAGTCTCCCGCGGTGTCACGTAGTGCCTGAATTAAAATCCATCAATGAATGGCACAGCGCTTTCCAGCTCTTTCCCAACAAATCTTTCTGAAAATATTTACCGTGAATACCTCAGATTGATGCAGCCATTAGAATTTCTGAGATACATACTGTTCAAGTAAAATAGGTTTTTTATTTTTATTGTGAGTCTCTCGGTGCCATATAGGTTCTGAATTAAAGACCATCAATGAATGGCACAGTTCGCCCGCTCTGTCCTTCAGAAATCTCTGGTAATGAGTGAATAGTATTCTGGAAAGGTGAAATTGGGAATAAAGACTTCGAAATCAAGTTTCGGAATCTGTTTTCATCCTGCAGGCAAACGTTTAAAAGTATCTCCAACGTCAAAAAATACCGGAAAAGTCTTCATGGCTTTGATCTTGACATAATCTGATCCCCACTTTTATTTTAGGTGCCGATTGAATTACCCTGGCGTCAGTCGATCCTGTTTGGGGAGGTCCGCGTTTCAAATCGGGGCGTGCAACTCGTCTTGCGCAGTTGATGGTCGATGTCAGTTTCCGGGAATTTCTACAGTTTAGTGTTATTCAGTAGTACT